TCCTTCGGCTGCCCATTTTTCGTTCCGTTCAGAGTCGGGTGCAAACAGAAATCATCTTTACCCTATAGCGTGACGGAGGAAGTGACAGTGATTCGCGTGTATTCCTATGTATTTGTTTGCGCCTGTTACTCCTCAATTCGGTAAAAAGACAAGTTTTGCTGCAAGTTTCTGGAAATCATAATTTCTTAAGTTAAATCCGCTCCTCCGCCTCCTCCTCCTCGACAGTTCATATTTTGTCTCACCTGACTTCCGATTCCATAAGAAACTTAGTAGAAAACCTTATTTTGCAGTAAAGTTCACACAAGCAAACGACGTTAGCTCGTGATACTCAGCAGCATAGGAAACTACTTGCGCTATAAAGGGAACGCGTAAATTTCCTGTTTCATGAGACAGCTTTGAAACGAATGCTTCAGTAGAAGGTCTTCCATGCATCGATTCAGTCTAATAAACAAAATAGGAACACCTAATGTATGTCTATTCATGTTTCCCTTGCTATCTTTCATATGTTACCTGACCCTCTGTACATTTACACAGTAGCATTCTCTACAGCCTACATTGGTTGCGCGCATAGCTGGTGGAATTAAGCATAATTTTCACGTAATTCCCACCAACCTTGCGCCCCTGGCATCCTTTCTGTGACTTAAACACCCAACCTCTTATTGTACTATTCGCTACCCTGCAAAATAAGCATACTTAGGCTGTTATTTTCAACCAACTTTTAAAAGTGCAATGCAAGTCCAGACATGGTCCGCACCTTCCTCCGCGACGACCGTCTGCCCCAAACTCTAAGCTTCCTTTACCAAATGGAAAAGAAGCCCCTTATTAGGAGATTTTATCTCCTTCTGGTGATAGCAACATGTCATATCCAACCAGCCGTCACGCCAGACTATCTGGAGTCTGTCCTCCCGGTGGAAATTCTGCGCGTCTTAAGCCTCTGTCCGAGTAGGTGGAATTTGAATTTTGCCCTCCAATTTAATAATTTTTGGTCATATTTTTTCTGGACTCTTTCTGTATGTTTATTTTTCGTCATCCTCACAGTTTCTATCGACTTGCAAGTCGCGAGAACTCGAGTCCTCGACGGCCCTGTCGCATAAGGGAATCGTAGGTAGCTGCTTAAGAATACTAATTATTGTAAGTGCAATAGGGTCAATGGTCACAGAAGAAGGCAAACACGTTTTATGAACATGTAGGCGGAAGCTAAGCGATCTCGCCTAACTTTTTTCGGTGTTTTCTGCAGGACTTTCTTGCTTTTGTCTGATCATTGCTCAGCCACCGTATCTTCTCACATTTATGGTCTAACCGACAAGGTCAAAATACTTCTATTCGCTCAGCCGAAGATGGAAACAAAGCACCTTTTTTCTGTCACCAGTTGTTGAAAACTTCATCTTAAAGTCCAACTGAATGCACTCTTTGTGAAAACAGCACCCTCGGTTTTTAATGTCTCAAAAGTTGCCTCGACCCGGAGATGTCCGCCTTGGACCAGCTCCTGTCTAGCTGCTGCGTACGTTCTTATTTCATTTTGAATTGGAAAATAAGTTATTCCATCTATTTCATGGAGATTGCTAGGCTATCCAAAGTTTGTGGAGTTTACCGTGCGGCTCGACAAACAGGGTTCCAGGGTCATCTTCCAAACCCTCATAGTAGCGCATTCACACCCAAGACGACGTTTTACGTGGGCTAGCTGATTATGATTCCCTGATATAGTGATAATCTTGATAGTAAGAATCAGTCTTCACCAGCTTAAGTTATCGTCACTGCCTGTTGAGTATTGAGCTCCTACCTTTTCTGTGTTTAGGTCCTTATGGTCGCGCACTGATCAGGTTGCAGCTCCCGCTTGTCCCGCCGCGTCTTAAGACTCAAACGAGAGCTCATACGCCGTTTCTTAACGACTAGTAGCATATGCAGAAGGGAATTGCTGACATACTGAGGACTGTCTCCCTTGTCTTTGTCGGCAATACTATCTGTTTATACTACCACCTGCTACGGCTGTCAGGTTCCTGTTTCTTAGTCATAACCCTTGCAAGTCGCGTTACACACCGAAAACCTTGCTTTGTTGCGGTCAGCACACGGAGCAAGCTAGTTTTGTTCGACGGATATGTCTGGTGTCCTGCTTTATTTCCAGCTTTGTGATTCTGACCGTATAAAAGACTTACTCGGGAATCCATGCCTGTTGTTATACCCCACGTTATTTTACGCGCTTGTGCCCTTTCTTCGAGTCTGTTTGCTCGCCTGTTTGCCGAGTGCACTTTAAGCACGTGTACAGAGGGTGTTGGTTCTGGTACACTTAGCTGCAATTC